TAGAAAATTGAAATAAATCACTTTTATGAATTTCTCTTCTCCGTAACACAAACATACCTTACGCTTCCATGCCGTATATGAAACTAATTCTCTCAAATACGATGTAATACTTTTTAATAGGGAAGGTAGAAAATTTTTCAAACATTCGAGCGAAAATGCGCTTTAATATTAATATTACCAAATTCCTTTTTTTCAAATCCTTTAAAGTGCTCGTCGGATTAAAAATTTCTCGTGTTACGTTAATAACTCGGTAATAAATTGTGCTTCTCTGAGGCAATGTATCAAAACGTGTATATTAAATAAACCGCGTTATCTCGAGGGGAAATTCAGCAAATTTTAATTTCGGTCAAAATCCTTCATTTGATCCAGTTTTCGTAATTCAGCAAGGATAACGAAGCTTATGTTTGAACGATCTTCGAAAGTTCAAGGATTTTCATAAGCAAGCAACATTTCTGTAAAGTTTCTCTTATCTCGATACACTAACAATCTCGACATGACAAAAATTGATGCCTACTGTTGAAACTGGGGCGAATAACTTTATGCATGTATCAGCGAAGAATACTTAACCCAATCCGGAAACTTTCACTGATTATCCGTGAAGGATAAGAGAACTTTTACGACTGCAGGAATCTTCGCAACGCTCGAGGACCCTATTCGCTGCCCATTAAAACTGAGAAAATGAACTAGTAAGTTATCTAGAAGCTGTTCATTTCACTTTTGTAACTTACTTGAAGCGAGACTGATTCAGCTGGAAAATATTGTTGTATTTCTCGAATGGCTTACTTTTCGAATTACTTGTTATTTGAGGTAAGAACATTTGGAGTACGTTTAAGGACGTATGTAGGGATTTTTATTTTTCGAGATATGAATATGTATTTACAAGTTAAATATGTATATAAGGTACTTTATGTATGGACAGTTGAGAATAAATCTAGTTTTCTTAGGAAAATATGGAAAACTAGTGTGGAGACACCAGTGACTTGATTTTTAGGGATTTAAGAGGATTTTATGGTATGGGAAGTTTGTAGAAATAGAAAGTTTGGGGAGACAAAATTTATTGTTGTAAATTTGAGTTATTGGAATTTGAGAATCTAGGGATTTGGGAAGAATGGAGATGAGAATCTAGGGATTTGGGCAGAATGGAGATGGGAATCTAGGGATTTAGGAAGAATGGAGATAGGAATCTAGGGATTTTGGAACAATGGAGATAGGAGTTTTGGGATTTGGGAAAAATAAAAATTGGAATCTAGGGATTTGGGAGGAATGGGGATGGGAATCTAGGGATTTGGGAAAATTAGAAATAGGAATCTAGACATATGAGAAAGTTTGAAATAGGAATCTGGGGATTTGGGACAAAATGGAGATGGAAATTCTGGTATTTGGGAAGAATAGAAATTGGAATCTACGGACTTGGGAAAATTAGAAATAGGAATCTAGGGATTTGGGAAAATTAGCAGTAAGAATCTAGGGATTTGGGAAAATTAGTAATAGGGATCTAGGGATTTCAGAAAGTTTGAAATAGGAATCTGGGGATTTGGGAAAAATGGAGATAGGAATCTGGGGATTTGGAAAAAATGGAGATAAGAATTTAGGGATTTGAAAAAAATGGAAATGAAAATCCAGGAATTTAACCGTTCGAGAATTTAGGAATTTGGAGATCATGTTCAGGAATATAGATATTTGGGTCCTTGAAATTTCGGATGTGAAGATTTAGAAACCTATTTGAAACCTATTTGACAAAATTTGAGAACGTGAAGTTAAAAATTTCAAAATTTGAAGATTGGTCCAACTTGCAAATCAGATAACATAAATATGACAAATTATAAATCATAATCTATAAATTTGAAAATTGAAAAAGTGCAAAATTCACGGTAATTAACGAATTCCCAATTTTAAGAAATTAAAAAATGTCAGAGTAAACAGACTTATAAAAACAAACATACGAAAATTTGCAAATTTAAAAATTCGAAAATAAATATCTACAAGAAATTTCATTCATAACCCTAGCAAATTAAAAATAGCATTTTTGACATGGACCCCTAGCATTTTTACAAATCAATAAATTGACAAATTCGTTTCTATAAAAGTAGCAAATCCATCGATTAGAAATTTGGAGGGAAAACAATCGATCACGATCGAGGACTATCATGCGCATCATTGATAACTGTCCATATGTGGCAATCTCTGTTAAACGGATAATGGCGGACTAGATATCTATGTCGAAGATGTATGATATCGCACGCACTTAATGGGAACGTTGGGAAACACTATCCAATTCTAGTTACGTAGATAAACTGCGGGTTTCGGGTCCTTGTTTATCGCTAACCAATCGGATACTCGATTCACCATCGGTACTCGCATAACGAGCAATCAGACAATGCGTTTTCCTCGGTCTTCTATACCACCATAGGGATTTCCTGTTGTTCCCGATCGAAGATAAACGTGGCCACTTCCTATTACCGTTTGAACCGCTATGCTCCATCAAACATAAATTCATATTTTTTAACAGAAAACGAAAGATTACAACACAATGACGTCACTGCAAAAGTGGACAATTTCTGATATTTTAACTGAAACTCGATGTGGACATATTTTAACTTCGGTTAATTAATAAATAACTTGTATTTTTCATGAAATATTTATTCATAGAGAAAATTTATATATTCATAAATTTTTATCACAGACTTGTCTTATGTATTTTTTGACAATGTAGCTACAGGAAAATATTTTTAAAAATATCCTTCTCTTAGAGAAATTAAATATTGTTCTTTTAAAAGATTCTAAAGTAATGATTATAATAAATTTTTATCACAGACTTGTCTTACTTATTTTTTGACAATGTAGCTACAGGAAAATATTTTTAAAAATATCCTTCTCTTAGAGAAATTAAATATTGTTCTTTTAAAAGATTCTAAAGTAATGATTATAATAAATTTTTATCACAGACTTGTCTTACTTATTTTTTGACAATGTAGCTACAGGAAAATATTTTTAAAAATAACCTTCTCTTAGTAAAATTAAATATTGTTCTTTTAAAAAATTCATAGATTGTATTAATATAAATTTTAGCTAAAGGTATACATTTTAACCAGAGGCGTCTAACTGCAATTTTTATAAATTTTATAACTGCGTTCAGTATTTACCCTCTTCTACCATTTGTCTGCATGTTGGTAGGAGTACTATAGTTCTATACTAGGAATAATAAAATGGAACTGTCCCCATTGAAATATGATTGCGTAGGATAGAAAATTTATTGCGTGGCTAGTAGAAGAAGTAAGACCGTGCGCGTTAACAACAAAGGAAATAAACATTGAGTCCGGGAAAGATAAACTGCTGTCTGAAGTGAGAAAAGCGTACAACACAGGCGACTGGAAGCCGGTAGGAAATTCACGTTTTAAAATATTGAAAGATGAAATATGCATTAAAGATAATATCGTTTTAAGGGGTACGCGAATAGTGATTCCGGAATCTTTAAAGAAAAGAACGTTAGATTTAGCTCACGAGGGACATCCCGGTATAGTAGCAATGAAACATAGGCTCAGGAGCAAAGTGTGGTGGGAGGGGATAGATAAAGACGCGGAAAAAACTGTCAAGTCATGTAGAGGTTGTCAGTTGGTGCAGAAAACGAGCGAACCACCACCTTTAAAGCCTAACCCGTTGCCACAGGGGCCCTGGGAAGCGATAGCGATGGATTTGATGGGACCGCTTCCCACCGGAGAAAATATTTTTGTTGTAACGGATTATTATAGTAGGTATTTTGAAACGGTGATTTTAACAAATACGAGCGCAGGTAGTATTCAGAAACACTTGTTCGAAATATTTGCGCGATTTGGTCTTCCAAAAGTAGTGGTATGCGATAATGGACGTCAGTTCACTGATTTAGAACTGCGAAAGTGGTTGAATGAAAATGGGGTAAAAGTTTCACATACAGCTCCGTATTGGCCGCAGGCAAATGGCGAAGTAGAGAGGCAGAACAGAAGTATATTAAAAAGGTTAAGAATAGCACACGCGGAGAAAAGGAATTGGCGCGAGGAACTGTTAAAATTTTTATTAATGTATCGTTCGACACCGCATACTGTAACTGGGGTTTCACCAGGGGAATTGATGTTTGGTAGAAAGATAAGAACGAAATTGCCGGAGTTAGGCGGGAGTACATTCGTAGAGGAAGAGGTGAGAGAGCGGGATGCGTGGAAAAAGCAAATAGGAAAGGAATATTATGATAAAGTGCATCATGCAAAAGACAGTAGGGTAGAAGAAGGAGATAGAGTGTTAGTAAAGCAACCGAAGAAACATAAGTTGAGCACAAATTTCGGAACAGGCGAATTCACGGTCATGGAACGGAAAGGAAACACAGTGACGTTGAAATCAGGAGAAGGAAAAGAGTATAAGCGGAATTTAACAGAAGTAAGGAAGGTTGTGGATTCGGATGAAGAAGAGGAAATAGTAGAAGGAGCTCAGGATATAGTTGAGGAAGAGAAAGAGACAGAGAATATTGCGAGAAGTAAAAAGGACAAGGAGAAGGAGCAGATAGGAGAAAGCTCAGGGAGACCAAAGCGGAACAGAAAAGTGCCGGAGCGTTATGGCGTTTTTAGGGTGCATAGTATTATATAGAGTATTAGTTTTAAATGGCATTTATTTGTTCGTTCAGTTACTACATAGATATAGAACCCGGGTGTTAAGTGATAGTTGTTATCGTTCGTTAGTACATAGGTATATATATATATAAAAAAAAAAAAGAAAATATTAAGGAAGAGAGGGAATGTAGTGTATGTAATATGCATGAGAGTGTGGCACGTATGTGAGAAACAAAGGAGTGGGAGGTGTGAACGTCGGAACGGGAGTTGCCGCTGCATAGCTGCCTAGAGCGGACATAAAGTTCTTGTTTTGGCATTAAGCTGGTCTTTATTAATAACCCCAAACCTATTACACGTACGTCCAAAGTTTAATCGTCCGAGCTGATGCGAGCACAGTAGAGACGTGATGTAACGATATGTCAACAGGTATCCTGGGTGCGAAGGCAAGACAACGGCGAGAAGGTGAATTTGCTGACGGTGGGTCCAACCACATACGTAGGGGATCCTAGGTATAAAGTGAAATTTCAGTACCCAGACAACTGGCGTCTTCAGATCGAGCCAGTAAACAGTAGCGATGAGGGCCAGTATCAGTGTCAAGTCAGCACTCATCCGCCCAAATACATCCACGTGAACCTCCACATAAACGGTGAGTTATGCACTCGTGTTTATAACAAGTTTTTCACTTTCTATTATAGAATACCATAAGCAAAGTACACTATAAAGATAAATGTTAAAGTAAATTGTATAATTGGTAGATGAGAAGACTTTACAGACACATATAGAAGAGTTAGGTCTGGAAGATAGGGTCCATTTTAATTTTCTTTAAATCTGACCAAAACCAAATGTTATGTGTGGAAAACAGGAATGAGATAGTACTGTTTGTAATAAATTAACTTCAAAAATAAAAGCTTAACTGAGATTAACTTTTTTTTATAAAACCTTAGTGTCATTTAATGTTTGTAAGGAAGGAATTTCACCTAGTTAATTAGGCATTTAACATAAGCTAAAGTAAATTAAATTGCCCTTAGTTGTTATGATGATTAAGTGTGAAAAATAGGATTAGGTCCGGTCTACGTTAAACCTAACCAAACCAAAGGATTATGTATAACCTAACCTCAAAAATAAAAGCGTCATTGATACTAACCCTGTTTCTAAAAATATTACACAATGTAATCTTCACAAAAAATGCTTCCATAAAAATAATACGAGTTAAAATAGTTCATGCTGCATTTTTAATGACAAACAGCTAATTATAAAATTGAGAACGTAATATTTGGAAGCATCTGTTTGAAATAATAAGAGAACGAACATTGCGATTGCTTCTGCAATATCATAAAACAACTAACAACATTCTAAATGAAGAGATTGGGAAGCGTAATTTATATAGAAATCTTTGGGAATAATGCAAACGACGGAACTATCTTTAGCAGATTAAATTTTGATTAAAATTAATGTCGCTTGTAATTGAGAAAACAATATACCGGACTCTGTCGAGGAATCAAGCGGATTGCTTTACGCTTATTAGCGTTGCATCCTTTAGAAACAAGTGATTTAAATAATTGAAGTTACCAGCACAGCAACGAGGGCGGACTCGAGTAAATTGAGTTTTGCTGTTGCTATCAGCAAAGAAATTCCAACCTTGAGGAACTGATTCGAAGAAACTACTGCGAGAACGTCTTCGGTTATATCGTTCTATTTTCCCGTTATTGAATTAAACTAATCGTTCCATTGCTAGCCACTGAATTGAACTGATCGTTAGAATGAGGGAGTTTGAATGGAAGTAATCAGATAATCGAGGCTTATCACGATATCGAAAAAGACAATCTATAGAATGTGGTGAAATCACTTTGTATGATCCCGTAAATGTGAGGAAAATATGTTTAAACAATGCAATATGTATTTTATTAAATTGTTTTATATCATGGCAAGTGTTGAAAAAAAAATTAGTATGAAAAGTGATGGAGAACAATTTTTATTTACTATCTGGTTTATAGACATATAATGTGAACTTAATTTTAGACATAAAAAAATTTAGAAATTTAAAAGTTCGGGAATTTGATAAATTATTGAAAATTTAAACATGAGTTTGTAAATTTAGAAATTATAGATTTTTAAATTCGATACGAATAGTATAGTATAGTGCTTTATAAACAGCACTACAATCTATGACAATGCTGTTCTCTACGTGAGTACATTGGAACAAAGTTTTTCATGATTAAATTATAATTTCTCCCAAAGACATGACATGCATTAACTTTGATAATTTACTTTTTTAGAAAATTCACAAAATATGTAATTTCCAAATGTTTCCAATATCGTATTAGTGTAAAGAGATGCTCCACGGTTCCTAAACTACTTGGTACCTTTTATTTACATTTAATGTACTTTTGTGGGATTTGTTAATACTCTTATAAAACGTGGTGAAGGCAAAAAAGTGCGAATCAAAACATATGAAACGATCATTCAATTGAAACGGAGAGCGAGTGAGTCCGTAGAGGGAGCCACTATAGTGGCGCTGTGTAATCTACGACATTCGAAAGCCACTATAGTGACGCGTGCCTAAGAGGTTAATGCATACATAATGTATTATATGTTAACGTATTATATGGTATAATGTTCCCATGTCGAACGCTTGATGAAAGTAAAGAACATCATCCTCGAAAATTAACGAACCCTTCATTAAACTTCCGAAAATTACTACGCAACGTTCGAAACACGCAAAACGATCCACTAAAATTTCACTCGATCTTCCTTAAACGAGTTTGAAATAATCCATAGCCAACATTAAACACGAACCGCCTTTGAACATCAAATTTGTCAACTAACCTAATAAACTAATAAATAATATGGCCAGCGTCCACGAGAATTTGTATCTCGGTTCTCTTTAAATTTGTATCTCTAGTCCTAAACTTCTTCGACATGAGAATAAAATCCTACTAAATTCTTCTATCTCTCCCCACCCAAATCCCCACTGCTCTCGCACATTACCTCCCCACCATTACACTCAATAAACCCGTCACCAAATTACAATAATCGTATCACAGATTAGATTCAAACAGTCCACCAAATTGCTGTTCTTCGCAGTCGATTAAATTCGAAATCCGCTAATTTTTCACCGTGGTAAGTGACACTCGAGTCCCGGAGGCAGCGGCGAGCACATCGGTTTACCCGCGGGGGGTGAAACACGTAAACCGGATGCAAATTAAAGAGAGGCGTACTCTCCAGACTAAGATTTTCTCCCCGATGACGTCGGGGGAATCGTTTAAATCGAGCAACGAGTAGGGGGTTGGTGGAACAAGCGGCGCGGGAAACAACGAGGGAAAGAAGCACTCAGATATTCAGCGCGAGCTCCAGGAAATTGGCTACGTTCCTGGTGCTTTTGTGAACTACGGTGACACGGGGCATTCGCATTGGGAATCCGTCGAGGGGGATGAAGGTGAAATGAAGCTAGCACGCTTGAAACGGGTAAAGCGTGGAGGAAAGTTGATTTCGGGTTGATTTGACGCGATGCAGTGCCCGTCGACGAGGCCGAGGCGAAACCGAACGTTTATCAGACAAGGGATCGAATCGCATTTACAAATCCGAGACAAGTACTAAACAAAAGTCTCACTTCCTGGAATTTGAAGGGTGCTTGTACACCGCTTGTTTGCGTTCGTGGTTCAGGGATTTTGTGCAGGGAATGGTTAGGTTAGGTAGAGGAGGTTGTAGGGAGAGTATTATTTGTCGAAATGGTATTTTATTTGTAGTTTGTAAAATTCTCAATATTTTCACATTTGAATAATTTAGAAAATTAAAATTGGTTATTCAAGGACAAAAAAAATTTTAAGAGACGAAATTGCAAATTTACGAAGTACATTTACCCCAACAGCTTTATCCCAAAATAACCTAAAAATTGAAATGCACGAAATCACACTATACTGTCACCAATTACATCAAATCAGAAAATATTCTTATCAAAACATTATCCTGCCAACCCCAAGAATCACTTACAAACGCAGCGAATATAAAAAAAGTCCAGTATATCTGAGCCCAAGTTCCTGACAACCTGGAACAAAAAATGCTGAACGCTCGGCAGATAAAAGTACCGCAAGAAAAGAGCATCGAGTGAGAAAATGGCGGTCAGTATGGGCGAAAAAGCGTTGCCAAAAAAACGAGGAAAGAAGAGATAGAAAAATCGAAGCATCTCGTCAACGATCGGATAAATTGGCTTCGTTTGTCGAGTTTTTACGGACGAAGATCGTTTAGCGGCATAATTGAAGGTGAAGTGGCATAGATGGAGCCGAGTCGTTTGAAAAGATGGTGGACGAGCAGAAGAACTTCGTTTCGTTGCCCCGAGACAGAAAAAGAGAGAGTCTGTGGTATTAGGCGTTTGTTGGAACGAAGAAAGAGCGAGACAAAGAGAAAGAAAGAAGGAAAGTGAAAGTGGTACTTGGAGGTAGACAGGAAAATGAACGGCGAGCTCAGAAAATGTAAAGCCACTGTAGGAAGTTCATAAATGAAAAAAAGGATGGGCCAAACGAGGAACTCGAGGTAATGAAAGTAGAGAAGGAAGCTTGGGAAGAAGGTCGCTACTTGTGGACGTAGTTTTCGAGAATGAAAAAGGGAAACAAAATAAAATGGTGGACGGTGTCGTTGTACGTAGAAACTATGAAAGAAATTAAATCGTGGGATTTGTTTTTGCTTGCGATTTTAATGTCAATTTTTGTAAGAAAGGTGGCTCTTGTGATATCCTACTTTGTTGTAGAAATTGTGGAAGAAATTAAATCGTGGGATTTGTTTTTGCTTGCGATTTTAATGTCAATTTTTGTAAGAAAGGCGGCTCTTGTGATATCCTACTTCCTTGTAGAAATTGTGGAAGAAATTAAATTGTGGGATTTGTTTTTGCTCGCGATTTCAATGCCAATTTTTGTAAGAAAGGTGGCTCTTGTCGTGATATTTTACTTTGAAATAATTGGAGCTTTGTTTTGGCTTTGGTTTGAATTTTTCAACATCTGTTTGAAGACTCCTTTATATTCATGGCGTGTTTCGGTTGGATAGAATTTTTTGTTTGACTTATTTCTTTGATGTAGGTGATGCTTGCACCTGTGGCGATTTGGGAGTTGGGAATTTTTTAGTTTTTGAAATTTAGGAAGCTGGGATCTTGGAATTTTTAAGTTTTGGAAGTGGAATTTTGGAAATTAGGGAGTTTGAAGTTTTAGGGGTTTGAAATAAAGAAATTTGTGGATTTTGGAATATTTGGTTTTCGAGGTTTAGGTCTCTGGGATTTTGGGAGTTTGATATTTTCTAACATTAACATTTCTGAGATTTTTTAATTTAGGAATTTTTGAATCTTGAAATTTAGTGATTTTTGAATTTCTTAATTTTTCAAATTTAGAGCTTTGGGATTTTAGACTTATATAGTTTTGGGACTTTAAAATATTCTGTATTTTGGAATTTAAAAACTTCGACATTTGGGAATTTTGGACTTTTTTAATTTTAGAAATTTAGGAGTTTGAGATTTTGGAATTTTTAAGTTTTTGAACTTTTACATTTTTGGGATTTTGAAATGTAGGCACATTGGAATGTAATTTGAAGATTTTTTGAACTTTTTAGTTTTAGAAATTTAAATAAGTTTATTTTTCATAACACTCAAAAAGCTAATAAAAT